TGTCAAAGAGAGGCTACTCTGATACAGAAATAGACCCTATTATCACAGACGTAACTGGAACGGACAGAAATAAGATGCTAAACAAAAACAACAGTGAATCTAAACTCCGCAATCCATTAGTTATGGTTACAAAATATAATCCGAGAATCAAAGGATTAAAAAGACGCATCTTAAAATATTGGAATGAAATGAAAACAGACACAAGATGCAAAGAAATATTTACATCGGAACCGATTGTAGCTTATAGCAAGCACAAAAGCATAGGAGATATGATTATTAGATCACGTTTACCACAAGAATACAACTGCTAAGGTGGACCCCTGATGAGGCGGGCCTTAGGGCATATAGCCGTTTTTTTAAAAGACCGCCGAAACACTCTTTACTATATAATGATGTATGAATCAAAATTAAAATTAAGAAAATGTCACAAAGTTTGGTTAAGAGTGTCGGGTCCTAATAAATTTCATGAACAGTTTGGCTGATTGATGTCCTTTTTCTCACACCTTTTAAAAGACCGCCGAAACACTCTTTACTATATAATGATGTATGAATCAAAATTAAAATTAAGAAAATGTCACAAAGTTTGGTTAAGAGTGTCGGGTCCTAATAAATTTCATGAACAGTTTGGCTGATTGATGTCCTTTTTCTCACACCTTGTATCTAGGGACAATGTCCCACAGGCATCATCCCGTGAATCGCCTTCTTTGAACGCGATCGACTTGTTCTTAATTTATTGGGGCTTCTCCCTCTGACCATTTTCGACATTTTTATTGAAACCAAAAGAACAGTAACACATTAACGCTTCCTAGCTAATTTTTTCATCCGCTTATAATGGGAGACCTCTTGAACATCACAGAATTCGATTGATTTATTACAAACTTAGGAGTGATACCGAGATTGACATCTCAAAGTTACATAGTTAAATTCTGCACAATTACAACACTTAAGACGTAATGCTACAAAGACTTAGTCGACTTTCTCTGAAAAAAGCAACCAAAACTAACATCATGGATGACGATTTCCAGATACCGTCAAACCAAGAAGCCTTATCACAGATTGATGATTTGGATTTAACAATCCGTTTACCGGACGCAAATACTACCTACACGAGAGCTACAGAAAATGGATTGGCTGAAATATCAAAAACTCTTAAAGAACGACTCGAACTTTCTAAAAAACGTGAAAGTCTAATTCATGGTAACAGGACCGGGAATTACCCTACTTGGTATAATGTAAACACAAAGTGTTTCCTAAACCTACCTAATGAGCAGGAGGAGCAGAAATTCAGGAGTTTCTGGAAAGAACTGAGCAACGCCATCCAAAAACAAGCCTCGCAGAAAGTTATAGACTTCCTTGCAAACCAAATCAAGGAAAAGGAAAATGAGGCCAACAGGATTAGGGCTGAGAACATAAAGCGTGTAGGTTTTGCTACAGAGGAAAGTGCCTCTATCAGAAAACAGATGGACACAGACATCCTCAATCTACACAATGAAAACACAAAGGAATTAGAGGATTACCGCAGGCATTTGGGCTCTATGCAACAGAGCTCCTCTAACCTTAGGACTGCAACAGTCTCCAAGGCCCCAGGAAGGAACACCCGAGTACCTCGGAAGGACTGGAATCATCACAACCAAAGAAACTCTTTCTCAGGTTATCGTCCTCAAGAGAAAAGAGGTCAATTCCGACGAAGATACCACCCATATTAACAGTCTTACATGTGGACTTGAAACACCCTCTCATCTGGTGATGTTTATTTTTAATTATCTGTGCGTACTATAATTACTACAAACAATAGTGACATCTGCAATATGGAACTTTTCTAGTGAGGTCTATCGAATATTCGGGCGGATTAAAAATATTATACATTGGATTTTATTTAATGTACAATAATTTCATAATGTATAGACCAGTCTAATACTTGTACATTTTAACTACTCAGACGTTTTTAATAACATTGATATTATCAAGGAAGCTACATCTTTGTTTGTTTTGAATGCAATATTCCTTATATTATAATCTCTAATTATTTTAGAACTTGTGTTTTTACTTCTTAAAACATTTGACCAACAACATGGTCACCTATTGGTTGATTGTATTAGCTTCAGTTTGACTGAAAGGAGGCGTGGCTATTCGCTTCTGCGCGCTTCTTTCATCTTGACATTGCTTTTATTTAGCCAGTGCGAGTAAGCACGGCAGGATTAATTTTTGTGCCACTTATTTGTTTGCTTTGCAAATTATACACGGAAATTTTATTATCAATTACGTATGTGCCTTATACCCTCTATTAATACGCTCAGACGTATTATAGACGTGGTGTTATTATAATTAATCGGCACTTAATGGTTTACCCTCTATTTATACGCTCAGACGTATAATAGACGTGGTGCTTTATTATATTATCAGCAACATCATTTATCCTCTGAGATAATTAATTCAATCTTAAACCATTAGAGTTATAAGATATTCAAGCCGTTTCTAACAATGGCGCGACGCTTCAGGCGTCTAGATAAACAGAAGAAAAGTGTATTAAGAGCGTCTAATGCATTTGCTCATAAACAACGCATTCACAGAGCAAGCGTAATAAATGCAAAAAAATTTGTTCTTAATTTATCCTCATGTGGTCTTCAAGATAACGAATACATACTGCTAGCCAAAGGACTTAAATTCATCCCGTCACCACAAAGCAGCAATGTCAAAAGGTTTCTCCTTAAGGATTTTGACGAGTTTGCTAGAAAACTCAGATGCAAATTCTTCTTTGATACCGGGGAAAATAATAAACTTCATCCCTTCAGAACATCTACTGGTTATAAACCCGATCAGGCATGCGGTGCTCTTGAAAATTATATTGACAAAACCAAATTAGAATTATCATCTATGCCAATAAAACAATATCGGGATAATTTAACTAACCAGGAAAGGGCGGCATTGGTCTCATTAAAAAACAATCGCCATATTGTAATCAAAAAAGCTGATAAAAGTAACACTGTGGTCATCATGGACAGAGATAAATATGTCACTGAAGCTTTACGTCAACTTGAATCAAAACACTACCTTGAAGTTGAAAAACCTGATTTGTCACATTTACGTAATATCATACAAGAAAAAATATCTGATATGTTTATTGGAGGAGCTTTAGACAAAGAAACATATCGTTATCTAAGTGATAGAGATTCGTCCCTTAAATGCGGACATTTATACTTGCTCCCTAAAATACACAAGATCAAAGATAAAATCATGACTGCCCTTATGAACGGCACTTGCAGCCTCAGACGGCTACCACCTGGGCGACCAATTATTTCACAATGCGATACACCAACACATAGGATTGGTGCTTACTGTGATTATTTTCTAATCCCGATTGTTCAAAAACAATCGACGTACATAAAGGATACTACGGATTTCATCAATAAAATCGAAGCCTTATGCTTACCATCGCAAATCATACTGATCACTTATGATGTTACAAGTATGTATACTAACATGGAGTTTGATGAATTATTAAGCGCTGTTGAAGAGGCTTACCGAAATAACAAACGAGATTTATCAGATCTGCCTTATCCCGAGGTCTCAGATCTCCTCTTTCTTCTAAAGTGCATACTTGAAAATAATTATTTTGAGTTTAATGGAAAATATTACAAACAAATAATCGGTTGCGCAATGGGTTCAACTGTTTCCCCTGAGGTATCTGATATAAGAATGTTCCAGATAACTCAATCAATCATGGCGCAATTTCAATATGCCAATAAAGTCTTGTTTCACGGCAGATTTAGAGATGATGGTTTTATTATTTTCAATGGGTCTGAGAATGAGATTCTTGATTTCTTTCAAATTGGCAATCAATGCCACCCGCATTTGAAATTCACTTTTGAAATCTCAATTGACTCTGTGAATTTTTTAGACACAACAGTGTACAAAGGAAGGAAATTCCAAGAATCCAACAAACTAGATATTAAGTCGTACATTAAACCAACAAATAATTTTCAATATCTACACAGAGAAAGCTCTCACAACCCAGCAGTATTCAAAGGTTTCATTAAGGGAGAATGCATTAGACATATGAGAAATACCAATGACAATGCAACCCTCAGCACAATCCTACAAGACTTCAAGAAACACTTGTCAAAGAGAGGCTACTCTGATACAGAAATAGACCCTATTATCACAGACGTAACTGGAACGGACAGAAATAAGATGCTAAACAAAAACAACAGGGAATCAAAACTCCGCAATCCATTAGTTATGGTTACAAAATATAATCCGAGAATCAAAGGATTAAAAAGACGCATCTTAAAATATTGGAATGAAATGAAAACAGACACAAGATGCAAAGAAATATTTACATCGGAACCGATTGTAGCTTATAGCAAGCACAAAAGCATAGGAGATATGATTATTAGATCACGTTTACCACAAGAATACAACTGCTAAGGTGGACCCCTGATGAGGCGGGCCTTAGGGCATATAGCCGTTTTTTTAAAAGACCGCCGAAACACTCTTTACTATATAATGATGTATGAATCAAAATTAAAATTAAGAAAATGTCACAAAGTTTGGTTAAGAGTGTCGGGTCCTAATAAATTTCATGAACAGTTTGGCTGATTGGTGTCCTTTTTCTCACACACCGTATGTTGAGGAACTAAGTCTTGGATTAAGAACTTGATGGTGGGGCGAGTTTACTGAGAATCAAGGGACGGATACAGGATTTGAAGGTGGCGGTGTGTTCATTAGATAACAAGACAGGGGGAATGTGTTGAATTTAGCGGTGTGTATACCGAGTATATTCAGTTTTGAATTGAATTTCACAAAGGAGATACATGTTGTCTCTGAAGCAGAGCTCCAGATAATTTTTTACCCCAAAGTGTATTTACTCCCTGATTTTCAAATCAATGCAGATTTTGATTTTCAGCAAAATGATTGAAGAGTATTTTGTTTATATATGAATGTTTTGACCTTTATTTTGATTTTGAGCATGTAATCGAAGTATGTGTTTTTGAAGAGGGAAAAGACTTCATAGGTCAGTTTCTGCATTTATTTAAATAATTTTGCAAATACCAACAAGACTTTTTGCTAAGATTGGGAAGCATTCTTTTTAGACAAGGATACTTATACAGTAGGTCAAGGTACCATAGAGTCAGAGACACAGACAACTTTTCCTTCATTAAAGATATCGTATCAAGAGTAAACTGAGAGAAAAGAATCTTCGTTAATATGGCAATTTGAGAGAGATGAAAATTTGGCTATGAATCCATGAGAAAAAAGTTATGCCAAGTGCTTAGTCTTTCTACATAGAAATTGATTTAAGTCTAAGTCTCCGATTCTTCCTCCCGAAATGGAGATCGTCGTCGTCATTACTAAAGGCTTTTAAATCTGTAGTTCGTTATGGAAAAATCAAACACCGAGTTAACCTCAATTCGTATCATTAAGTAAGTCATACATGTATTTTTCAGCGTGTTGTACGCAGTACTTTCGTGGTATAATGCGTATCTATGATTGCTAATGCGTATTTGTACGCTCTATTTTAATTTTTAATGCGTATTTTGTAAAATTTAATGCGTATTTCTGCGAATACGCACCTTATCTGGAGCTCTGCTGAAGTGATTAAATCAAAGACATCATTTAATACGGCCTTGATAATAAGTTAAATTTAAATATTTAGTTCTATTTCTAGAGCTTAAGCACCTTGGGATTGTTCGTCATTATTGTTTTGATACTGGAAGTGTTTCGTGAACAGAGTATTTTCATCGCCAGCTGAGGATAAAAAGAAGTCAAGTAAATAAATGATGTGATTGATGTGGGAAAAAATGAAAAAACTGCACTGTAACTGCAGCGAGAGTTCGAGATAGCAGTATTGGGAGCCGAGGAACAAAGATATAGCAGTATTGGGAGCCGAGGAACAAAGATATAGCAGTATTGGGAGCCGAGGAACAAATGTATACCAGTACTGGGAGACGAGGAACAAATGTATACCAGTACTGGGAGACGAGGAACAAATGTATACCAGTACTGGGAGACGAGGAATAAAAGATATAGCAGTACTGGGAGCCGAGGACTTTTTAATGAAGAACAAAATCAGCAGTATTTTTCCTCAACATTAGCAGTGTAGCTATAGGAAAGATATAGCATATTGGGAATTGAGGAAAAAAATATAGCAGTATTGGGGGCCGAGGAACAAAGTTATAGCAGTACTGGGAGCCGAGGAACAAAGAGATAGCAGTATTAGGAGCCCCCCCCCCCCCCCCCCCATGTAGCAGTATTGGGAGCCGAGGAAATAGATTTACGCAGTATTGGGAGAACTTTCTCTTTTTTTTTTTTTATTTGCTTGTCAAAGAATTTCTGGAGTTGAGCCCCCCCACTTTTAAGTTTGTGACTACGCCTCTGATTGGGAGCCGAGGAACAAAGATATAGCAGTATTGGGAGCCGAGGAACAAAGATATAGCAGTATTGGGAGCCGAGGAACAAAGATATAGCAGTATTGGGAGCCGAGGAACAAAGATATAGCAGTATTGGGAGCCGAGGAACAAAGATATAGCAGTATTGGGAGCCGAGGTACAAAGATATAGCAGTATTGGGAGCCTCCGAAGAACAAAGATATAGCAGTACTGGGCGCAACAAAGTTATATCAAAGTTTCCTTCTTGAGACCATTTGACCAAATCTAACATATGCTAGAAACATTATCTTTTATTCTTTGGAATCGGCAAATTTTTCAAATTTACTTTTAACAAATTCAGACGTCATTGTTTGACTTTTATATCCAAAATGTGACGTATAAATTAATGAATTTTCTGAGCATCTTTGCACGACAGCAGCCCTTTATTTTTACCATGTACAATTGAAATGTTTGAGAATTAGAGAGAGAGTTGCAAGTACCTATGACTTTTAACCAGAAATATGGCGCGACTTAAATTAAATGCAAAACTTGCACTCAATATTAAATCGCCTATAACAGTATAAACAAGAAAAATAATAATATTTGTGTTTGTTTTTATATAATTATCATGATACAACATCATATAATATAAAATGATCAAATAATTTGTGCTTCACTTTGCAAAATTTTAGAATTCGAGGTAAATTATAAATAGTTAAAGACTGATTCATTAAATGGTCAGCAAAATAAAAAAAAAATACTTGTACATCTTTAAAAAGTTTGAAAAAAATAATTTCTCATTGAAGTAAATGAATGATAACAAGAGCATTTAAAGTCCTGAGACACTTTGAAAAAAAAATCCAACAAAACCTCTGAAGAAAACTCTTCTCTAACCGGACCAGCCTTCAGCTTGAAGTTTGGTTCTGTTCCTCGATGTCTTTTATCATATTTATAGCCTGTAACAAAAGTAGTTTGAAATAGTTTATTTTCAAGAAAAATCTCAGGATTTTATAAAATTGTATACAAGTAATTTATATCGATGAATAAAGTATGTTTTTTTAAATATTAAAATCAGGAAGTAATACCCATTGATAGAAAGTAGCGGCCCCTGCGCTGGCGTCCTGTACAGTATAGAGATCGTAGTCCCTTAGGATTTCCTTGGCTCTGTGCCAGTTTTTCTGACTGACAGACTTGCCATCAAAGTTCTCCACTCGCTTTTTCAGTCCTTCTCTACCTCTCTTACCGATCAAATTCTGAACACCGACCCAGTGCTGAAGCAACAAAACCAAGTAATCACACATTACACTATAAGAAAACATGAAACGTGTTCTTCCCTAAGGTAACAAAATTATATAAAAAGGTCACCCTCATTTCCTTTTCGTCGACCCCCAGGAGGACATAGGTGGCCACCATGACTCCGTGCACGGCCAGTGGCGGCTTGTTGTAACTACGGAGTTCTGAGATTGTCTTGGAATCCATCTCCAGGACAGCCGCCCGGAACCGCAGCAATCTCTTCAGGTGGGTCAGCAGTTTCTCGGCGTTAGATACAAGATCGACGCCTATATCGTTCTCCATCTTGGCATCGCTTATATCCATAAGAACCTTTTCCAGTCTGTCTAAATTTCTACGTGCCATGGCTTCCAAAAGTTCTAAAGGGAAGTCAAAAACCGCAAAGGACTTTAATTAAGTAACTTTCACTGGTTAACATAACAGTGTATGAAAAATCTCCATTATATTTTAATGACATACCTAGAAATATATTTGTCAATAACAATCATGAAATCTAGCCCTTACCTTCTCTTTGTTTCAGCATATACAGCTTATATTTAGCCGCCCCCAATTCACCGCGATCTATAGCTCCAGAACTCACAAACATTTCGATGGCGTCTGTTAATTCTTGTGCTGTAAGAGTTGTCCTTAAAATTGCAGACAAAAGGTGTTTCCTCGCCTTTTCTTGTGATTTTGACTACAAGACATAGTGAAAAAGAACAAATAGAAAACGAGAGTCTAAGAACGTTCATATTTACTTTAACATTACTGGACAAGATATGGTGGTGAAACATTGATGTCCCCTTTTTGGTAGCTCGAAGCCAAGATGTACTGTTTTCCATGTGTACATGTCATACAATTTGGAGATATTCAACCTAATCACTATTCACGTACAATTATTATGAAAAATTTCAGTCAGTATTTGTCTTAATGAAAGATTACATGTGTTAATAAGGTCAATGTATCGTCCAGAGAACTTGAAAATGATGATTTGAAACGAGACTGTGGCAGTTGTTTCATCAACTTTTTTGTCAATAGCTTGCTTCATTTTAGAAATTGTCCTGCAAAGAAAACGCTCCTGCGTATCGAATCAATAAGGAAATTTAAACCCCGTATGAAGGACACAAGAGTATTACGCTACAAAACTAAAGGAAGTTGACGGAAGTTAAAGTCATCAAGTTAACCATTAGTTAAGTGATTTTAAATTATCTAAATATTCCTTGAAATTTTGTATTAACAATATCTGATTTACACTTCAGAAATGTATTGTAGTAAAATAATCTTGAAATTCCTCCTTCACTGCTCTTATATTTTAGTGAGGCCAAACTAAAATATTAAGGTCAAGAGTTCAAAAAATTGACACGGAAAAAAGGCTAAGTTTTTCAAATTTCAAATTTCAAATCAAAATGTAAAAATTATTTATATCCAACTGAAGGTATAGACACATAAGTTCACAAGTGAAATATAAAAATCCTTGCTCCAACAGTTCAAAGGTTATGGCCAAGGTTAATGTTTGATAATTTATTTTGCAAAATTAGGTCAAACTCCAAGATCAATAGGTCAAATATGTTGGAGCCCACTTGAAGATCTTCTTAAAAGTAATGCAAGTGTGAAGTAAGAAAGCCCTAGTTGCTCAATTATTCAAAAGAAATACGCAAGGTTAATTTTTTTTTTGCAAACAAAGATCTAAGCAGACAAACGGACAGACAGAACAAAAACTATATCATTAAACGAAAAAATTGTATATCGTAAATATACCATTTGTGTCTACATATTTCTCGAGATAATTGAAAAAATTACTATTACTTATAGTCTGTTTTACGGTTATTGCCTGACGTCACGGCGTCAGGCAGTATAAGGATTGATATTTCCAAGATCCGAAAATGTGCGACCATATCTAAAGAGCTAGATTTTGTGCGAGCTGATTTACATTGGAATTCTTTACCTGCATTTTAAAAGAAACAGTTTTCAGAAAAAAGAAAGATATAACTGATGCAAAATACTGCAGTGTTTACTTCCTTTAATCTTTTTGCATGGAACAGATTATTCCATATGATTTCCCGTTTCAACATGTCCGTGTATCCTTTTTTCTGCATTTCTATACTACTGGATCAGTCCATTTATATTCTACGAAAGGGGTGAATCGGTCTTTTCGCGCCAAATGTCATTAGTAAGCTATCTTCGCGCCTTTTCCTTGGATTGTTCTATTGTATGAATGGGTGTGCTAACTTCCATGGAATTAAATAAAGTTTGTCCTTTTAACTTCCTTCTAATGCTTCAGATATTCTATCTACAAGTTTTATACCATTCTTTAAAATAACATATCGTATACATCAGTATACATGGTATATGGACAAGTAACACTAAAGAAATTATGTTTCTAATTTGTTTACCGATCCCGCGGTTGGTTTATTCCATAAATGGACGAGTCCAATAATAATAAACAACGCAGTTCAAGCCATCGTCCCCAGATGCATGATCCATTATATGTCTTTGTTCAGATGCACACGATAAATAAAAAAGTAGTGAATAATCTTGGATATTTCTTTCTACAAAGCCTAACTATTGAATTTACTTATTTCATTCTCAATATATCATGTATTATATGAGGGTGTCACCCCCTCCTATTTTAAGAACAAAAATAATGAACACACATTACTACTGTTCACTTCAGAGGAGAAAATACACTCCAACAAAATGTGTTTTAAATTTCAATTATATCCATCTTTTAAGATGTTCACAATGCGTGATTTGATAACAGATTTTATAACAGCTTGAAATCAATTTAGATCCGAGGGCAGATCACTCCACTTGCAGACCCTCCCTCCCCCCAACGGAATAACAACTCTTTAGTATGCAGTGTAAAGATGATTCTTCTACAATTTCAGTAGATCCAGGATTTCAATTACATAAGGTTCTCAAAATATAAAGTTAGGATATTTTTTAAACAGGCTTGGGGTCAATTACTTTGAAATGTAATTAATTACTTTCAAATACATTGATAATTTTGTCAATTACTTGCAATTACAATTGCATTGATTTTTTCAAATGTAATTAATTACATTCAATTACTTTGACAAATGTAATGAAATACATTTCAATTACTTAGAGTTTTATTTTTATAAAAAAAAAAAAATAAAGATTTTTTTAAATAAGATTTTTTCTATAGCGATTGAATTCGAACTTTCATTCAGTGTTTTTGTTCTTGGGTATGATGGGGGTTCACACCTGGTCAAAATTAGACCTTTACCTTATAATGAGTGTGACACACTGTATATACAAATTAAACATTATGAGACAATTAATTATTGTACAAACACAAGCCCATGCTACACCAGTATGGCGTATGGCGAGATCTTTTTGTTACTTTCTGAAATCCATATTTTTGAAGGAAATGAATAATATCTATCACAATTCCATTCATTATTTTCTATCTTAAAATGAATAGAATGCATGTAAATCTAAAAGGGGATGTAGTTAGTCTAATTACTGTAAAATAAATTAACTATATAAACAATCATTGTTATTTGCAAGTGGGAATAGGGAGAACTGAGATTTATAAAACATGGGAATAAGTAATATAAACCCACTAGTATAAAACTATGTATCAGTATAAGACATCTTTTTAAATATAAACTTTCATTTTGAAAAAAAGTAATTGAAATGTAATTGAAAAGTAATTGAAAATACATGACCTTTTTTGAAATGTATTTAAATACATTCAATTACTTGTAATTGAAGGCTTGCTCAAATACAAATTACTTCCAATTACTTTGAAAAATGTAATTAATTACACTCAATTACAATTACTTTATTCAGTTACCCCATCCCTGTTTTTAAACCTACAAAGTATAATTGCTCAAAAGGGTTTTCACTCTTCATGCAGATAAACTGATAGATTTAGTCAGGCAAGCTTTTTAAAAAGCTGTTACTTGTATAAATATATAAAATTACCTCAATAGGAAACGTCCTTTCCAGCAGATAATTACAAACATTCACTTCATTCTGACTACCTCGCTCACGACAAAAAATCTGTAAAGCGAATTCACCTTCACACGGAGGTTCTACAGTAATACTAACATCGACACCATTCTTCTCAACTTTAACATTCTCCACAAAATCAGATTTTGAACGTCCATTTTTTATTAGTTCTGCTTTAGCATCTGTTTCTAGCGGGAAAATAAAAAGAAACCTCACTTCTCCACTGTCTAATGAATACAGACCTCCTGTGTGCGAAACTGCGGTTATCTTGTATTTAGCTAGCTCCGAGTTTCTTCCCCAGCCTATTTTTGGCACCACTGGTAGCGGTACACTAAAGTTCATGCCTTTCTCACAGACAATCCTGAAATCACAGATCCATTCTGATGGAAGGCAAATATCGTTGTTACAGCAATAAATCTGGAGTTTATATTCTCCAACACAAAGCGGGGGGAATCGAACCTCAAAGAAAGCCACTTCATTCAAACAATAATGAACGGTATACCTATCTAGAGTCGGATATTCATATTCCCCTTCATCTGTAAAATCTCGTAGAAAATAAAGGTTATAAGAAAAACATAATCTATCTCGAGTTTCCAGAGGCATTCGGATTTGAAGAACATACTTTCCATGAATGTGAGCTACACATGAACGATTTGGCTCCACAAGTTTAAGCCCCAAGGCATAAAAGGCAGGTTGCAGAAACGGCCGGGATTCGAATTCAGCTTTGCTGATTTTCTTTGGTAAAAGTTGCCACCTGTCATCATTCGGAAAACACTTGTCGATAAATACTGATGGTTCGGGGAAGAAATACCAGTCGTTTATAGGCGAATTGACAACGTACGATCTACTTTCTCCATACACGGTATCTTTACGGAATTCCGGACAATCTAATATTGCCCATTCTCCTGACTTGTATCCCCTCGCTGATCTGGACGCCCAGTGACAATGAACAAGGCGCCAGTTTTCCTGCGCGTACACGGCGTTCCAGGAATTTCTGTGTTTTGTGTGGTCCATAGTCTCTCCAACGTCATACGCTACCCCCTTACTAACGCCTCGAATAACAACGCATGGTATGTTGATATACCTAAAATCATAACACATTTCTTAAAGACATGTTATGTACAGCACAACTCATACGGAAAAGGTTTAGCAAACAATTTATAAATGGTAAGGCCAAACAAAATCATTTCATTTTATATCTGTAGTGATAAAGGCTTTATAAAATAGTTCGGGTTCGGGATTCGTATATTTGATACGTCACAATCAGCTGATTTACTACCATATTGGGCCAGTTGTGAATTTACCCTGGAACTATACAGAGGTCTATCGACACCTGTCCCGTTCGAGGTCCACAGCTCAGGTGAGTTGTAACTGACGTTACCCCTCACCATTGCAAGTCTTTATTATATCAGTTGTGTATTATTTATTATGTAGATTATCTTACGCACTTCACAACATTGGCGTCGCCGGTAGGATCTTCCGATCGGTGAAGTGCGACATTGTGTATTTATATTTCGCGCCATTTTTTTCTTTGTTTTTCGTTTATCTTATCAAATAAAATTCTTTTTCAGAAAATTAATTCAATGGCGGTTTCTATCATTTCCTTGCTTTTTTCTCATTTTTTCATTTAGATTTGATTGTTGTCGGATTTTCTGATAACGATCATAAACATTTCACTCTCGATTTTCTGTCGGACATTCTGACAGTTAATCAACAACACGTCTGTTTTTCTATTTCTATTTTTATTTTTTTTTTGAACAAAACAAAACTGAATCAGAATGGCAAATAGTGAAAACCCTGTAAACATAAACAATGCTAGTTTTGGGGAATTAAAAACAATCCCAAACATAGGATATAAAAGGGCAGAGTTAATTATGACACTTAGAGAAGAAAAGGGGACACTCTCTTTAGAAGATGTAAAAACAATAACATCAAGCACAATATGGGACCCCCTTATGAGTGAGGGTGTGATTATTTTTGGAGAGAGTCAGAGAGATACACAATCAGAAAAAACACAACACCACAAAATTGAAGATGCTTTAAATGAAATTGAAAAATTACAATCAGATATAGCTTGGCTCACAAAAGTCAATGAAAGGAAAAACATACAAAGTTTTCAGTCAGAAAAAGACATCACTTCTAGACAACAGCAAATAGAAGAGTTAGAAAATACATTAAGATCAGAACATGAACAACAAATGTACAATCTACAACAAAAATTTAAAACAGAGCTAGCAAACACAAAAGCAAACTACGAAAACACAATTAGTAAAAAAATGATGGCAAAGAACGAAGAACTTGCGACATTAGAACAAAAACTTTATGAACAAGACAGCAGATGGGTAGGTAAGATACAACGTTTAGAAAACAAAATTAAGCAACTTGAAGATGAAAAAATCAGCCAAGAAGTAGACAAGTTAGCACCACAGGGAGTTTACAATGAGCCAAAGGGACTAAGTCCACCAAAAATGTCCACCTTTGATGGAAAGAGCGACTGGAGACCCTTCTTTACACAGTTTTCTCACATTGCATCCAGATACAAATGGTCTGATGAACAAAAACTGGACAAACTTATTGAGAGTCTTCGAGACAAGGCCTTGAAATACTTCAGTTCCAGACCAAGTTCAGATCAAAGAAGCTTCAAGAAACTGAGTGCAAAAATGAATGAGAGATTTGGTAAGAAAGAGCTTTTATATTTAAATGGCATTAAGTCAGATGTTCTGATTTGTGCCATATCCCGGGGCTTATTAAAACGGGGAGGAATGTAGTGATAAAGGCTTTATAAAATAGTTCGGGTTCGGGATTCATATATAATACGTCACAATCAGCTGATTTACTACCATATTGAGCCAGTTGTGAATTTACCCTGGAACTATACAGAGGTCTATCGACACCTGTCCCGTTCGAGGTCCACAGCTCAGGTGGGTTGTTTACCCCTCACCATTGCAAGTCTTTATTATATCAATTGTGTATTATTTATTATGTAGATTATCTTACGCACTTCACAACATATCTCTAATTGCCATATGATTCAGTCTCCTGACTGGTGAACTCCTAATGTTTTGTACTTGATTAATATTACCTGCACATCTTGCAGAACAATGCAGCATAGGACCCTTTTCTCTGCGTAATGAGACAGAGGTAGCCAATGGGAGTTTCTGGTGAAGGAATGTCTTTGACGTCATCCAAAATAGGAAGTCGTTGACTGACTACCCAGCAGTAAATGGCGCGAACACGGGCTATATCAGACTCCAGATTTCCACAAAGGTACTGTAGCAGCGAATCAAAACTACTGGTTTCTTCTAATGAAGCCTGAAAACAGCACATTGCTTAATATAATATTTTGTTTTTTGCAGAAACACGACTTATACAATTAGACTTTACATGATTAAAAACTGACTGAATTAAATAATGATTATGAAATGCAAATGCTTCGCTTTCGGAATCAATAAAAGTCTTTTTAAGTAAAGTTAGACCTTATGGACGAGATCATTAATCGTGTCTAGTCCTCCGTCACTGAATGTCGTGGGTTGAAGTAAAGATGGCGGTGTAGGAGCAGGATAGCCCTCCATTACGTCATCATCTTCAGAGAAAGATAACAGAGAACCCTGGAAATAAAGAGTATCATCTATGATTAAATTTACAATTTTGAAGAATCATCAAAATCTCGTTCAATAAATTGCTTCCTCCAAAACCGTAGTTTTCTGGTTGGAAAAGTATTATTCAGACAGGCAAACAAGAGAGCTACAGATCCAAGCAATCTAAATAATAGATTAACAGCGCCGCTTCTTTGAGTAAGCTTGGTGTAATCTTTCTTGTAATTCACATATATATGCATGCGTTTCTCTTTCAAAATAATGGCAATTGTTTACAGACCATTTGTTTTAAGGAATTACTGTTTAGTTAGTATAGTATACCGATAGAATCAAGAAATCATTTCCGCCAACTTTCAAAGAGTTATCACAGAGAAGAAAAATAAGAAATAGAAATATTGATACAATATTTACCTGGCAAGGGCCCAAGAGACATGACAACAACATCATGGATGTTTCAAACTGACTTTCGATGGAGCAGTGTGGGACCCATTTGCTGAATTGTTTGTCTCAACTAGAGAGCTACGGTTCTGCAGCTATCAATTTACCCGAGATTCTTTAGAGGTAACGTATTTGACTGAGATGTTTCGGGAGTTGGATTTGTGTTTACCTGTAATAACTCGGGGTTACACTAAATTTTTGTTTACCTGAGATTCCTGGGAACCTTGTGTTTACCTGAGATTTCTGGGAGTGAATCTTATGTTTTAATACCTGAGATTACTCGGAGTGAAACTTGTCTTTATCTAAGACTCCTGGGAGTGAACCTTGTGTTTACCTGAGATTCTTCGAGGTAAACCTTTGGGATAACCTTCTTATTACCTGAGATATCTCGGAGTTCTGTGTAACAGATTCAATTGAAATCCCTCTCTGACCCATTTTTATATGTTGTCTGTTTGCATTCTTCTTTGCCATTTTTCCATGTTTTGTTGCCTTCAAAATATAAATATCTTAATACTTAATCATATATTTTAAGCGATTTAAACCATATAAAGCAAAATAATCGTACTGAGACGTAATATTACCTTCTGCGCTCTTGTTCTGTTTTCCGCTGACATTAAGCTGTCATTAGATGACTTTCTGACCTGTCTTTTTCTTCTGTATTCCACTGACATTGAACTGCCCCGAGAAGATTTTCTGACGGCGTTTCTTAAGGAGATCTCACCCTCCTCTGTATTTCCACTGTTACTGGACACATTAATTTGATGATCACCGTTGGTCACGTTATTTGGATTATCCCGTCCCACACTGTGGGGATGCCCGGTTTCTCTTGTCCCAGTTTCTGTATGAGATCCGCCCCTCTGATTCAGTCTCCTGGCTGCGGGTGTAGCTAATACCCGGGCAGGCATTCCTGTGTCTACTGATCCTTTTGAGTTTTGTTTTTCTACTGATTCATTAGGCGGTTTTTGTTGTAAACTATGTGATGATGATAATTTAATGTCCATAAACTCGGCGTATAATTTATTTCCCTTTATGTCCACACTCTCGGAAGAGGTTTTCGAGCTTTTGGTGTCGCGAGACGATACTTTTTCAGAGAGAAGTGAACATTTTCGTTGCGCTTTGAAACTATCATCTCCATTAACATGATTTACGGCAATAATGTTTGAGTTTTCGGATACAGGAATTCTCGATCTTTGATTGTTTTCCTTGGTGTTGACCACGCCCCTTTTTGGAATTGACTTATCTTTTTTGTCCGGTTTAATGTCCTGACCCTTCATTAGAGGCTTATCTTTGGCGCCATTTGAAGTCCTCTCTGAGTTTATATACTTTATATTTTTTACAGGGTTTTTGTTCGCTTCATCGTGGGATTGATCCTGAACTTTTACAGTATCACCTAGGCGCTTTGCTTCGTCACCCTCCATTGCATTATCTAGAGTATTCTCTGATTATTTTCTGCTAGATGCCCTTTTTGAGTTTCCTCTCTCAGTGTAATATTGAGCAGTCTTTCCTTGCAACGTTCCTGATTTGCTCAGCTCTATTTTTAGTCCAGCTCCGATTGAATGACGTTCTTTGTTTTCCTGGAGAGGTCCGTTTTTTTCTATTTTTTTCCGGATCTTTTGAGCTTGACCGACTTCGTTTCTTGATGCTGATGTCTTCCCCTTCAGTTGCTCAGGACTCTGAATGTCGTGCTACTTAAGATGATCTCTTCTTCAGTGGATTTCCTTCGGTGATGGAACGGCATTTACTTTGAAATAGCGTCCCTTTTGAACACTAATGATGTACACATTGAATGATTAATGTAAAAAAAAAACAAACTTATCTCAATATACATGATATTGATATCTCGATATAAGTATGACAGGACTACCCGATTTATAATGTTATCAGTTTATCATATGACCTTCAAATAGGCCTCATTACAAATTATACTATCTACTATGCTATTTTTATTAAATGTTTGTTATAATGAAAAATCAATATCTTTGTAATATCTAAATAATTACGTTTATTTCAATCGTTTTTAAAGAAATAAATATTAAGTTTGTAGTATCTCTAAACGTGGGTGTTATTAGTAGAGAAGCCGTGTTTATAATAAAACAGAATTTTTATAGCAAAATGAAGAATACAATTTTACATTGACGTTCAATAAATTATATACTTTTTTTAAAAAAGCCATGAAATATCGAAATCTTACCTTGTTATCTCTGCACTATCTTGAAGACTGCAATTGTGACGTCATAAAGGACTACATTATCTACTGTTACGTCACAATGTGACAGTAACGCAATCGCGCGTTTTTTGTATCGATGTCGAATGTTGTCTTGATTTGAAGATACATCTGTACAGTGTTTGTTCTTTGCGAGGGAAAGCTCCCCTTATAAGTTTTGCTTCAGATCAAGCTTCTATATATTGACTTTCCTTCATATTTAAATATGTCGATAAAAAATATCACTTAATAAATTAATAGCTATCTTTTTGTAGGGAGTTCCTCAAATATTTAATTCATCGAAAAGTTCTGTTGACATTAATTATCGAGGCTTGTGCATTTCAAGTACGTTTTTTTTTAAAATATGTAAGTTCCCATGCTTTTAATCTTTGTGATAAGCATTTCAAAATAAATGATTCTCATTTTCAACTCTAATTTACAGGAATTACATTATCAATTTGTATGGTTTCTAGAGTGTCTAACAGATTGTAATTAGGCCTTTTAAAAGTATGTATAATAAAATATCAACTACGACCACTAACATTTTGCACTCATTAACAAGAAACAGCAATTCCTTCATCTTAAACTAATTAAAGATAAAAAAAAAAAAACAAGAGGTCTATGGGCCACAACGCTTGCCAGAGGTACTTGAGGCCTTTATATGTAAAATTAAGATCAAATTTTCTAGATCTGTCCCTTATCATAGGGCTCATTATTTGAATAGATTTAATTTTTTGTCCTGTGATTCTTGAGAAAAACATTTTCAAAATTGATAATTTGAAATTGTTTTCACTTTTTTGTAAATTTGTGAAACACCAAGACATTTTTCTGTCAAATGCTTTAAGGTACTCCGATCCTCAGCCAAAAAGGATAACTCTTTAATTTATAATTTAAAGTCTCAAAAGGCAGCTCAAAATATTAAATTTGCATGCAATAATTTTCATTTTATACCTCTCAATGTGCTTCAATGTTCTTTATTATTCTCAGAAAGGTCTTTTGACAGTCGAAATTTTTACCCCATAAAAGTTAAATTACATATTCAAAGAAGTTGAGGTTCTTTTAATCTAACCATATATGCCAATATTTATTAACATGATATGTTTTGCAATGATAGGAAACTCTTTAAAAACTATGCATTGTAAAATTATCGACGTACGAGAAATAAAAAAGAAGAAACTAAAGTGCCGTAGATGTAAAAATTGGGCAATTTTTTCAAAAGCCTTGATACATATGATTTTTATTCCTGAAATGTGTTTGCTGATCAAATTTGAATTTGCTTTTTTATTCGTCTTTCCTGAAAATTTACTAGTATTTGAGATTTACCAAGGATCACTTAATTATAAATTGGGATCTGACCTACAGGACTTGGCTCGGTTTATTCTCTAAAAATAGCTTGTCGATATCCGTTCCAATTAATGACATTATGCTGAATACATATAACAATTTGCTTTTCCTAAATCTTTATTTCAGAGTAGAGGCAGGAGAAAGCCTTTCATTGATTTTCTGAGTTTGTTATCTCCAAATGTAATAATTGATATTTGTCTTTACTTCTCATTGTGCATAAAGGTAATGTTTCTGAAATTCCATTCTTTATGTCCAGGCATTTATCCGTGGATATAACTTCATAATACATGTCATTAATGTCTGCAAACAATATAGGCCTAAATGAAATCCAAGGGTGTACAGTTACTGAAATATGTAGCCAAAATCAATGTGATCAAATTCTAAAGAATATATACCATTGAAATTCATCGCAGCCCAATGCTGCCAAGAAAACACAGAGAGAGTTATTCTTGTCCTCGGAGAAAGTGTGCTTATACTGAGGTTCGTTCCGCCTGATTGACAACCGTACATTGGATTGTTTATACGAATTGATACCTCTTTAGTTTTTATCAAGAATGGGCATGCATAAAGGATGGATAATTTAGGGAAAAATACACAAGTGATAAAAAAATTAAAATAGTCTTTGAAAAGGCGAAATTTAAAACTTGAGAAGTGTGGTACCAGGTGGATTCTAACCCCTGACTTTAAAAAGAAAGTTTCCACTGCGTAACAATCAGCGAATTATCAACTGAGCTAGGGTCACTATAAGAATGAAAGGCATAAATTTACAGCAGATTATGAAAAGCGGGTTTCCTTATTTTTTGTAGTTTTTTGTGAATTTCGACCCTGGGACAGGGGTGCCCCCAAAAAAATCTTATCTCAAATTATTTCTTACATCCTAACCTATCAAAATATCACAATTTTATTCAGGGGCAGGCTAGCCCTGAAAGACTCCTAAGCCAAAATTTATGCAAAAATCAGCGCTTTATCGCATTTATCACCATATTTTTTGATAAATGCATTTAATACCAGTGCAATGGCGATAACTCGTGCGTTCTAATTGTAGTAGTTAAACATTATCGGGACTATGGATTTTAAATAGATGACGTAATATTATCAAGCACCAGTCCTTATGACGCTGATTGTCATAATCTACCGAAAAAGCTAGAAGGGTAGACATGTTGCAAAATTTCACCCACCCACCCTTCCCTAAAATTTGTGTACATGATTTTGCTGTTTTCTCCTCTGTAATTTCAGTGACAGAAGCATATTCCTAAATGGAAAGTGTTTTGTATGTGGAACATCCCACAGGGGCCGGTAACATACTGTTTTTGATTTTACATAATCACTATATATATATACAACAAGAGGCCCATGGGCCACATCGCTCACCTGAGTACCAAGGGTAGGACTAGTATAAAATGTCTTTTTATTGTAAAGTTTAAATCAAATGATCCCATGACCAATCATGGATTTGCTATTTTTTCGAAAATGATGATTTTTAAAGAATTTTCCTATATATTTCTATGTAAAACTTTAATCGGCCATTTTGGCCCCGCCCTACCCCCAGGGGTCATGATTTGAACAAACTTGAATCTACACTACCTGAGCATGCTTCAATATAAATATGATGAATTAATGGCTTTGTCATTCTTGAGAATAAGATATTTAAAGAATTTTCCTATATATTTCTATGTAAAATTTTGGTCGGCCATTTTGGCCCCGCCTTACCCCCGGGGGTCATGATTTGAACAAACTTGAATATACACTACCTGAGCATGCTTCCATATAAATATGATGAATTATGGCTTTGTCATTCTTGAGAAGAAGATTTTTAAAGAATTTTCCTATATATTTCTATGTAAAACTTTGGGGCCATTTTGGCCCCGCCCTACCCCCGGGGATCATGATTTGAACAAACTTGAATCTACACTACCTGAGCATGTTTCCATATAAATATGATGAATTATGGCTTTGTCATTCTTGAGAAGAAGATATCTAAAGAATTATCCTATATATTTCTATGTAAAAATTTGGTCGGCCATTTTGGCCCCGCCCTACCCCCGGGGGTCATGATTTGAACAAACTTGAATCTACACTACATGAGCATGCTTCCATATAAATATGATGAATTATGGCTTTGTCATTCTTGAGAAGAAGATTTTTAAAGAATTTTCCTATATATTTCTATGTAAAACTTTGGTCGGCCATTTTGGCCCCGCCCTACCCCCGGGGGTCATGATCAAACAAATTTGAATCTACACTACCTGAGCATGCTTCCATATAAATATGATGAATTATGGCTTTGTCATTCTTGAGAAGAAGATTTTTAAAGAATTTTCCTATATATTTCTATGTAAAACTTTGGTCGGCCATTTTGGCCCCGCCCTACCCCCGGGGGTCATGCTTTGAACAAACTTGAATCTACACTACCTGAGCATGCTTCTATATAAATATGATGAATTATGGCTTTGTCATTCTTGAGAAGAAGATTTTTAAAGAATTTTCCTATATATTTCTATGTAAAACTTTGGTCGGCCATTTTGGCCCCGCCCTACCCCCGGGGGTCATGATTTGAACAAACTTGAATATACACTACCTGAGCATGCTTCCATATAAATATGATGAATTATGGCTTTGTCATTCTTGAGAAGAAGATTTTTAAAGAATTTTCCTATATATTTCTATGTAAAACTTTGGTCGGCTATTTTGGCCCCGCCCTACCCCCGGGGGTCATGATTTGAACAAACTTGAATCTACACTACCTGAGGATGTTTCCCCATAAGTTTCATCTTTCCTGGCACAGTGGTTCTTGAGAAGAAGATTTTTAAAATATACCACTAAATTTTCATTAATTCCCAATTATCTCCCCTTGAATAAGGGCGTGGCCCTTCATTTGAACAAACTTGAATCCCCTTCACCCAAGGATACTTTTTGGCAAGTTTGGTTGAAATTGGCCCAGTGGTTCTTGAGAAGAAGTCGAAAATGTGAAAAGTTTACAGACAGACAGACAGACAGACAGACGGACAGACAGACAGACAGACGGACAGACGGACGCCGGACAAAATGTGATCAGAAAAGCTCACTTGAGCCTTCGGCTCAGGTGAGCTAAAAAAGGAAAGGGAAACAACGTCAGCCCGAATTAACACAAGGTCGATCTGGAAATACTTCGTATTTCATAGAAAAAAGAATGTAGCCAATTAAATTATGACTAGAAATCATACTACAATAAATATTCTTTAATAAAACAGAAACCTCGTTACTTTTTATAGCGTTTAAGTTGGGTAATACTAACTCGATATCCCGTTGTGAGAGTCGATGTACTTTAAGTCGTCCACTAAAACGAGGCAAAATTCGCACATTTTCTCCAGTTTTGAAGTCTTTCCGGAGATGGAATACACAAAGTAAAGATCCAGCGTTCACGAAAATCATCTTTTTCTTTTGTTAATTGTAATTAAAAGGTACAACATCTCCGATTTGAATAAATACGTTAGCTTTTGTCATTCACAACAGGACCCGAGCCCATAACAGACATTTTGGAAAAACCCATGATTGGTAAAAGGCGGAGCGTGATTGGTCAGATCTGTTCTAGAAAAGCACCATTGACCAATCACATCTCGCGTTAAATATTGGATGCAATGTTTAGCGAATTTAGTGGACGACTTAAACTACATCACTTGCATGACAGGATATCAGATCTGCAAAACACGACTTACACGATTCTTAAATGACCGCAATGGTATTTT